ATTGTCATAATTAATCTTCACTAGGAAAAAATATGGAAAGTTGACTTTTCAGGCATAAATTTATTCTGAAAAGAAACCCTCCATTTATAGTAGTTATTATAAATCCTTGGAACTTAAGTGAATTTCATACTACATGAAAGTTTTGGCAATTCCTTCCAGATTAAGCCAAATCTATGATAACCGTTGACCGTTATATGGCAACAGAATTGCTTTGTACTCTTGATCTTTACAAAAGGTGCATGGGCTACCTTCAAGAGGACATCTGGCTCTGGGTCATTTCGTTAAAAATTTAATTGGCCCCTTTTCACATTAAAAAAAAGATAAGATTGCCGAGACCAGTTTGGCTCAGTGGATTAGGCCTGTGGACTGGAGGGTCCCGGATTCGATTCCGGTCAAGGGCATGTGCATTGGTTGCAGGCACATCCCCAGTGGGGGGGGGGGGGGGGTGCAGGAGGCAGCTGGTCAATGTTTCTCTCTCATCGATGTTTCTAGCTTCCTATCCCTCTCTCTTTCTCTCTGTAAAAAAATCAATAAAATACATTAAAAAAAAAAAAAGATAAGATAGCTGCTCAACAGGGCCACACGTTCCTAATAAATGTCATACCAGCTGAGATTAAATTTTATTTTAAATAATTAAATTCTCAATTCTTCAGACATGAAGGAAATCCCATTATACAAGTGAAACAGCAGAGCATAAGCTAGGGTGGGAGGTATGGTGGGGAGACTAATACAAAACATGGTTTCAGCATGAATTCATTACCATATTTTTAGTCTCTGGAATGAATCTGTAAAGATCAAGTCACACTTCCACCCAATCCTTACTTCACCTAACAATGGATTTTCATGATCTTTGGCCATAGCTCCTAGACGAGAAAGAGGTCTTTGGTCATGTTATTTAAGTAACTTCCTAATTAGTCTCCTGTAGAACTTTCCTGAAAAGAAGAAAAATTAGAAACTAAAATTGTGAAAATATCAAGTAAATGGAGACAACCGTTTTTAAACTCCTGCTTTTATATTGTTTGAATAAAATAGACTTCCCAAGTCTAAACATCAACTTATGTTATTTTATAAACAAAACCATTAAGCATTTATTTCTGCTACTGAGTTTACAAAATATACCTTGTTGACAATGATGCTATTTCCAAGGTTATTTTCTATTTTAAAGATCCAGTAACAAATACTTGCTTAAACTCTAAAAATGTAAGAAGCAAAGAAAGAGTAGCGCTAAGACGGACAGCACTGGGTTTTGCTTTGCACACTGTTGTGGAGACTGTGAACAGGGAGAATAAAAAAGTAGGAGTGAACTTGAACAGGAAGATTATTTCAGGATAAAGAAAGTTCCCTAGGATAAAGAGAATTTTCTCTGTATTTTAGTAGACCAAATCTATCTAGGCCAAGTGGAAAAAACACAAATGCCAGGAAGAATTCCATAAAACAGAAACAATGAGGAAGAGAAACCAAATGTAGGTTGCCAGAAGGTACAACGAAAACATCCAGGGGTATGATGTTGGCAAAATGCACAGGCATGTTTGTTTTGGAAGTTCAGAGTCAAGCACGTGGGTAGACCCAATTAGAAATATCAAACTGCTGCACAGCACGGATTCTCCTGCTCTGGTTCCCTTCACACCCTCCCTACCTTTCCCAGACCATATCCCTCAAAGATAACTTTAATCAACTTTAGACAAAACCTCCAAAATTAGAACAGGATACCCCCTTGCGCAGCGCACTGGGGATCCATTTCTGCATTATGCCTAACAGCTCTGTTGAAGGATGGCTAGGTGGCTCCATGCACAGTGAGGCCGGAACTGCTGTAGACCAGAACGGAAGTAGGCAGGATGAATGCCTTGCAGCTATGGAGGTGACACAGATGAGGTACCTCACGTCCCAGAATCCCAACCTGTAATAAAACTAGTGGCACAAGCTCAGCCTCCTTCCCAGCTTGGACACCCCGAACCCTGCTCCTAACTCCTCACCTGCCTCCTGCCTCACATTCCATTCCTATATTTTGCAACTGTCAGGCTATTTCTCAGCAGAGACATCATGGCTCCACTGATTCAAACGCAAAAGCAAATGCAGCCCTGGTTAGAGTGTTGGCTAGCAGACCCAAGGGTAATGGGTTCAATTCCCGGTCAAGGACACATATCACCATTATGGGTTCAATCCTGGCCCTGGTCAGGACCCATGTGGGAGGCAACCAATCCATGTGTGTCTCTCTCACTTCGATTTCTGTCTCTGTTTCTCTTTTCTCCCCACTCCCACTCTTCCCTCCCTCCCACTCTGTCTGAAAATCAATGGGGAAAATATCCTCAGGTGAGGATTAGGGGGAAAAGGAAATGCAGATGGGCAAAAACCCAAGAATGGCAGGGAATCATAATTAAAAAGAACTAAGACATAATGAGCTCTTTTATGTGCATTTTCCATGGACTGTATCTTTTAGTCACCACAAGCAAGTTAGGAGGTAGATGCTACATTCCCGTACAGATAGCATAACCAAAGCACAAAAAATATGTAATTTGTCCCAAGTCGTACAGAAAGGGGCTCGGCTCAAACCCAAGCAGTCTGCTCAGGAATCATAGGCACAGCTATTAATAAAACACAGACAGATGCTAGAGTTAGGAAAACATTTATTTGCCCAGGACTTCAGTAATAGCCTCCTTCATTCTCATTTTGACACGATGCAGCTTGAAGCTGCTTCCCTAGGAGGCTGTTACCAAAAACATTACTGCCTTATACCCACATCCTTTTCTCTTCCTCTCTAGCAAAAACACACCCAAAAGACAGTGTTTTCCATGTGTCTAAATTACTTTCAGACATCATTTATTTCTACTAGAAAAAGAATAAAACAAGTTGCTAAAGAAAAATAATGAACAATGCCATTATTTTGACAAATTCTATTTTCTAAATAAAATATAATACTACTAATATTTTTGTTTTGTTTAGGGAAAATAGATCCATTGAAAAATATGTTTTTATTGATTTCAGAGAGAGGAAGGGAGAGGAAGAGACAGAACAGAAACATCAACGATGAGAGAATCATCGATCAGCCTCCTCCTGTACACCCCACATTGGGATCGAGCCCGCAACTATGGCATGTGCTCTGACTGGGAATAGAACCATGAATAAATCTACTTTTAATGCCTTTAAGAACCTCTAAAAAATCTTTTTTTAAATATATATTTTTTATTGGTTTCAGAGAGAAAGGGAGAAGAGAGAAGCATCAACGATGGGACAGAATCATTGGCTGCCGCCTGCACACACCGCACCATGGCGAAGGGGCTCTTTCTGCCCCGTGACCTCTCTGTCAGAGGACGGACATGTGGGTTGCATGGAACTAACGTTGTTGCTGCAGCTACCAGTTGCTACCAGTATATGCTCTATGGCCACAATTTTCTATGTGCTTTTTGTCCGTTCTTTTGTTTAACCCTCATAACAACTCTCTATAGCTTTATTATCCCTGACTTTCAGAGATGGTATAGACTTATCCAAGGAATAGAGCTGATGACCAAGATGGCAGGTGTAGGATTTAATTCATGTCTGTGTGTTTTTCCCTTCTGTGAAAATGCTTCAAAAAAGGTGACGCCTAATGAGCCCAGAAACATCCTGAGTGACTGTGTTTTGGACGTGGAAGGTGTGCTGAAACATTGGAGAACAGTACAGGACAAAGCTCCCTGGGCTGGGGGCCGGACTCTGCACAGCCATAAGAAAACTGCAGTAGTAAGTCTTTGTGGGCTGGTCCTGGGGAGACGAGAGGGGTGGAAGGAGGAGGTTGAACAGGGCTGGTGGCTGAAGGGGCAGCAGAAAAGCAAGTTCTCATGAGAGACCACATTTTGAGATGGTCTAATAACTAAGGTTCAATCTTGTATCTCACAATCGATTGAAGAATGGAGTCTGCAGTTGGGGAAGGTGAGGGTGAGGCAGGTGGGGAATATAAAGTTGGGAGTCACCAGCATAGAGGTGGTTTAAAGCCAACGTGGAGAGATCGTCTAGGAAAAGATGCATGCCTGGGGCCCTCCAACACTTCAATTTAAAGAAAACAGCCAAAGCCAGCAAAGAAGGGTGGCACGTAGAGGACCTAAAGGTAAGAGGAAACCCAGAAGAGGGTGGTGTCCTGGAAAGCAAGAGAGTGACATTTCAACTCCACTGAGTTCTACTACCTGCAATACAGTGACTATGGGCTTAGCAATGTGAGGTCACTGGGAATGTGACCTTTTCAGTTAGAGAGTGGGGGGAAAGCCACACTGAGGTGGGTTAATCAGTTAAAGGCAATTAAAATAAATGACATTTTAAAGAGTGGGAGGTGAGGAAGTTAAGGCCATAGGAACAATCTTACAGTAAGTTGCCCAACCCACACAGCAGCTAGCTATCATTACCAGCACCATCTCAGAAGGCTGCTGAGCTCAGCAGGGGCAAGTGGGGGGCGGGGAGGAAAGGGGGTGTGAACGTAAGAGAGAGGTAGCCAAATCCAAGAACGCAGGTAAGACCATTCCTATAGGGATGTGTCCCTATAATGAAACCATTTCCACCAAACACGTATACCTGCTCCTAAGGAATCCTGTTAAATAGAGAATCAGTACTAACCGTGACTAACTTGAATGGCAGCAAAAATATGTTTAAGAACTTGTTCTCTAGAAGAAAAAGAGCCCCAAGTTGTTCCGTTGTGACATCAGCAGATGCCTGGAGCTATCAGGCCTGGGTTCCTCTGATGGCCCAGGGGAGTCCGGCCCTCCCTGGGCTCCTCCCTAGAGCTCACAGGGCGTGTGGGGTGGGACAAGGGGTTTGCTCACTGCGTGGAAGGAGGGGAAGAGGTAACTAAGCAATGGGCACTGCGTCTGCCTAACACTTTCCCACTAAAACACTGACGATAGAACTCACTTTGCAAACAGTCTCAGTTGGCAGCAAATACAAGAAACGGAAGAAAAGTGAAGTTCTGGACCCGTGGGTGGGGTGGCTCACAAATACCTCTAGCAGTGATGGAACTGTGACGGGAAACCCCAGCTCACCTCGCTGTTGTGGCCCCGCAGGTTGAAGTTAATTCTCTGCGGCGTGCTCCTGTCCCGGCGGCAGTGGCTGGAGGTGAAGGTCACGCCCACGACGCCGCGGCCGTTGCCCGTGGCCAGCCAGCCCTCCTCGTAGTAGCGCCTCCTGCACACGGGCTTCTCCTTCTCGCTCTTGGGGACGCGGCCCTTCCAGGACAGGCAGAGGATGTTGGAGTCGCTGTAGAGGACAGGCCCCTGCTCCACCGCTGCATACATGCTTTCTCAGTGACTACTGTCCTTGCAGAGTACCGCTGGCCGCTGACAAAGCCTCCCGGCTCCTCTCATGGATGGAATATTCTATTTCTGTGGTCGGCTTGCTTGGCTTCCCCGGTCTCCTCTAATTAAGATTGACCTGGATCTAATCAGAAGGTCAGTATTTTATAAAGATCCCCAAATGCATAGTCAAAAAAGTCCTCTATAAAAGACGATGGCAGTCTGCTAAGAAAAGGTAATGCTTAAAAAAACCTGGGGCCCATTTTTATTTTCAAGTCCTTAGAGGAGGAGGGGGCTGGCCCTTTGGAGAAAGAGCATCGCTAATCTGTAGTGCGCAAGAAACGGAGTTTCCGACTTTCTACTCAACTCGGTTATTCTGGTTCCGCCTGAGATTCCAGTTTAGCGTAATGTGATTCCAGAGACCAAGGGCTGCAAATACATAGATTTCAAGTAACTTAAGGCTTTAAGAATCCCTCAGCTGGAATTTTCTCTTCACAAGTTCAGAGGCAGAAACAAAGCACAGGGATCCCCCTCTCCCTGCGGCCACCCTCTGGCATGTTTTCTCAGCGAGAAAGTTCCTGCTGCTAGCGCTGGAAAGGCTGCGTAAGGGGGAAAAGGCACACACCGTGCAGGACAACAGTTTGTGCAGGCAGCAGTCCGCGTTCCGGAAGAGAGTCTTTGCCGTGGTTCAGAGCCCAGAATGCCCCCCCGAGAGCCGCAGCGGCTTCCTGGCCAGTCCCTGTGCCCCCGAGCTGGGCTCTCTCTGATGCCCTCACAGCCCAGCAGCCCTCATGCCACGGAGCGGCCGAGAGAAGCCCCCTGTCTGCAGAGCCAGAGCTGGCCCACGTGTTTGCCCAGGTGAGTCCTAATCCTCCTGCTGCCAAAGCGAACCCTCCCGAGCTTTCTTCTCTCCTGCCTGTCTCCTCCCCCACCGTCTAACTCCGCCCCTTTCTGCTCCTAAAAGTCACATCTTTTTCATTGAAGGAAAAAAAAGAACCTCAGACTTAAGTCCATCAAGTAATCCTCCTCTTACATGCACAAGTCTTCTTAAACTCCACAGAGAAGAGAAAAGACCAGAAACACAGGCAAGGGCGGGGTCTTCCCCGACGTTTCCCTAAAGAGTCACCCGGTCTGGCTGATGGGCCCTTTTCTGTTCACATTCAGAGACGGTTTCCCAATGCCACACGCACAGTCCAAGGAAAAGCAGCTTCGCTTAGGTGTTCCTTGATATTCATTTATCGGTTTCAAATGCTATCTAGGATATTATCCTATAGATACAGAAAAGAAAAGGGAAGTAATAAATTAAAATTTCTTGGGTATAGTCAACTGAAAAAGGGAAAGGAACCAGTTCACTGTTCAAACTTGTCCCATCAAACCTGAACTGGCTTTCCTCCAGTCACAAGCTCACGTAAAGAAACTTGTCGGTCCAGAATGGTACAGTCTCTGTCCAAATCATCAAACCCACTGAAAAATAAAGTGCAAAAAACACCGCTTGATCCCACCTGCAAGGCTTGAGATCACACTGCTCCCCGGCCGCCGTCTCACTAAGCTCCTTGTTCAAACTGGAGGTATTTCTGAAGCTTATCTGTGCAAGTTTTTTCTTCTTCTTTTTGCAGACTTTCTTTACCCGTGAAGACCAAATGGAAAATTGGCCATTAGTGATGTATTTTTCTCCCCGGGCTCCTGAGCCCAGTGGTGTCAAGTTGCTCCATCTGATTCTTAGATTAATTTTCATCAGTTGTAAAATGCTTCAAGTGTGCGCCAGAACGAGCCTGTCTTCTCGTGTGTGTTTGCGTGTGTGCATAGAAAGGTTTTAAATAGACACCAGCATCCACTCTTCAACTGGCCCGTCAAGTGTCTGTTTCCCAGTCATTTTAGGAACCATCTGAGCAATCACAGCGTGCAGGCCTTGGAGTCTTACAAACCTGTAAAACAAACAGGATTTTAAAAAAGTGTTAAAATGCTGAAGAATAAAGCTTTAACAAAATAATCACTGTAACTGAAATTGGAGACCCATCTTTACACTTACATGTACTAACTGGAGTTAGTGATTGGTAAAATTCAAAGAGCAAAAAGGTACACCCCACCCACTTAGAGACAATGTACAACGTAAGTCTGCGTGCCATTACTGGTTATTAACCTGCAAACGAGGGAGTTCCCTTTTAAATTACACAACTTACAACGGGCGCATACTCTTTCACTAGGACATGTCAGTACGTCATGCCCAGAGGACGTAATTTTATATTATTATTATTTTTATTTATACTTAATTAAAATAAATGAAATATATATTTTTTCGTTTATTTATATATAATGCACAAAGTAAAATACAAAATTACAAACAAATAGAAAAGAATACCAAAAAAATGGAAACATCGAATTAAAAAATTATAAATATAAAAAAATATATAAATAAAGATTACAGCCGAAGCCGGTTTGGCTCAGTGGTAGAGCGTCGGTCTGCAGACTGAAAGGTCCCAGGTTCGATTCCGGCCAAGGGCATGTACATTGGTTGTGGGCACATCCCTGGTGGGGGGTGTGCAGGAGGCAGCTGGTCGATGTTTCTCATCGATGTTTCTAGCTCTCTATCGCTGTCCCTTCCTCTCTGTAAAAAATCAATAAAATATATATATTAAAAAAAAAGATTACAAAAAATATATACCGTCCCTCTCAGGGCGCAACATATATTTCAAGGACGTATTCATATGTCCTACCCGTTCCCGATAGTGTTTATGTTTGACGTATTTATAGGTCCCACTCGGTTAACAGGTTAAATGGCCAGTAGCTAAGCAGACCTGAAGTCACTGCCTGTCTCCGCCACTTTGCCCTCCTTTCTAAGACTCCGGATTACGCAAGATGGCCCTCCAGAGCCGTAATTCTGAGGAAGCAGGCAACATCCAAAAGGAGACTAAAGAGGCTCCGGCCAGTTATGTGATTTGTCTCCCCCACTACCTCCCCCCTCCCCCCTGTCCCGCCACCCCCTTCAGTAAAAGATGTTCCCCAAAGACAGAGGGCAGCAAAGGGGTCTAAAACCCCTCCACCTCTGATTGGGGGTAGATCACAGAGCAAAGCACAGCTGTTTTCTCAACTTTTAAACTGTCTAATAGCAATGAAGCTCAGCAAATCCATCCTCTTCTTCCTGCTACCTTCAGTCCAGAACCACATCCTATCCACAAACACAGCAATGACTCAGCCCCTAACTCCCCACACCGTCCCGCCTTCCAGAGGGTCCTCAGGGAGAGCTTTAAAAAAAGCAAGGCTGCTTAAGAGCCTCCACTGTTCTTTCCTGGCCTAGGCAGTCCCCTAGAGGCCCAGTGACACACAGCCTGGCCGCAGCCCAGCCGCAGCCACAAAGCTGAAGCCACAAATCTAAAGCCACAAAACCGGACCTAAAGCCTCAGGCTAGGCCCAGGTATTTGCATTTCTAACAAGCTCCCAAGACATGCTAATGCAGCTGGTCTGGGGAGCAGCCGTGGAGAACCACTGGTCAATGGGGCCAAGACCCTTTATGATCTGATTTCAGCTTGTCCTCTCTCCTGACACAGCCTCCCCATCCAGCCTGTGTGACCACCATGGCATTGGGCCACTCTCTGTCCACAAAGTACTATGTTCTTCCTCTCCTTCATGTCTCCATTGCTGCCGCTCCCTTTAAAAGCCACCTACATGGCACCTCTCCTATGCTCTTCCCAGCACCAAGCCCCAACTCCTGCACCAGCCCCTTCACACCGCATGCTGGCGTTCTTCGCTCCGCTCCGGAACCGGGAGCCTGCCTTCCTCTGGAGTAGACCGTGCATACATAAACTGGGAGCTCAACGCGAGGAGCAGCAGGCAGGAGCAAGGCAGCAGCTACACATAATGCCTCGAGATGCCCTACTACAGATGAGTCACAGTGTATACAGTTGTATGTGCCAGTAAATCAAAACCACCAAAATCTCTCAGGAAGCATTTGCACCTGAAAAAATAAAGTGAAAACAAATGCTATAAAATTCAAATGAATGCCAAGTTCGTCCTCTTAAAAGAATAACACCACTGAATAATACCACCTTAGTCCCTGCTCTGGAAGGGCGCAGCATCACAGATGGCAAAAGCAAAAGCAACTTCTCAAGACCCAGCTGTATATATGCATGGGTTTTAAACAACTAAAGAGCATAATTCATGATTATTAAAGCATCTACATTAAATACAACAATGTAAATTATCAGTCATCCCACCGAAATCCCCCAGGGTGTCCATAAAGTCAAGATAATTTTTATAATAATACTAGAATATTATGTGCCTTCTTCACTGTGTTGATAATTTGTATCAATAGTGCAAAAGTGATAGTGGGTCAAACTGCCAGCTTTTTAATACAATCAAGGCATTGGTACCCAACTGTACCAGTACTCATTGGATTTCTTTGAAATGCCGGCTTCACTTAAGAATGTTCTCGATTCAGCAATTAAATTGTTAATTTTATTAAATCTCAACCACTGGGTATATGTCTGTTTAATATTCTGTTTCAAAACAGCAACTACACAGAAAAAATTTCCACTGACTATTAAAGAACAGTAGTAACCCTGAGAAAAAGCACTTACGATATCATTCATTTTATCCTACTTTCCACTGACATGAGTAAAATTCACCAGAGGGGGGAATAAAAATGAACTTTCGGTTTTTTAAGAAGCATTAGAATTAATGTTAGAGATCAGAGAGAAATTTGGGAAGACATCTTCCATGTACTCAATTTTGATAGAAATATTCAGTGTAAGCACTCTGGAAAAACAGTTTGAGTCATTGGCACTAATGAAGACGTGAACACTCTGAATATAGCAATTCCACTCCTTTTACGTCAAATAGAACTATATTCTGGAATATTCTCTTTTCTCCATTTAGTGATGAGATTATCTATTTATTTGACTATATGCATCAGACACAGTCCTTACAAGCACTCCAGGGGACACACAGGCATTTGTAGCAATAGCATCATTTACATTAGCCAAAACTTGAAACCCACCTGAATGAATCAAGTGTGGTACAGTATATTCAACAGCAGAATTCTATACAGCAAGGAAAATGAACTACAGAATAAAATGGGTAAGTTTCTCAAACATAATGTTGAACAAGGGATCTATGAAAAAAAAATCTACAATATGAATCCATTTATATAGAGTTCAAAATAGGCAAAACTAATTTTATCAGTTAAAACTGCATATGCAGTTTTAGAAACAAAGAAAATGTAATGTAAAGCAGTGTAGCGATTCCCTGGGGACGGGGATTGAGAACAGAGAGTGTTGCTCAGTGCTCACCATAGCCCATGTCCTGATCTGGGTGGCAGTTTTGGGAGTTCACTCTTATAATTATTCTTTACTTTCAATATGTCTAACATATTCTCCTACATGTATGATGTATCTCACAATAAATAGGTAGAACAAGCTGTCAAGTATATTAGGCCAGCATCTTTTGAGATTTGTAGAAATGTTAAATCACTTATTCAGAAAGAATTTTTAAAATTATTATATACAAGCTTAATGAATACACTCCCAATCTAGAAAATCCCAATAAAGTATCAAAGATGTTATGTTACTTCTCAAGCTAAGCAGGTGTCCACAAAGAAAATACATATTAATAGTAATGTGTGGAGATAACATTTCATAATATAGTTACATTTTAAGTAAAAATAAGATGTGAAGAAAAAATATACACATATTAGATGAACATAAAGCAGGAAGAAAAACACAGTAGAAACCTTGAAGTAAAATATTCCAAACATCCTAGAGTTGAAGGCTTGATTATAGACTTGCTCGGGGTTAGGGAGCAGGGACAGGAAGATGAGATTTCCTGGTGGGGATGCACATTAAACACATCCCGATTCCTGCTCTGCAGCTGTGGCCCGCCGGTGTCTGGGATGGAACTCTCTGGCTGGCGGGGTATACAGAGGGGGCTCTCTCCATCCGCAGGCCACTCACTGCTCTTTCCTACAGAGGGCAACAGATCCTGAACTCCACTCTTCTTTTTAATGGACGCAACTAAGATGGCCTGTCTTTAATTATAGTTACTCCTTTCCCTGGGGGAATTACCACAACCCATATATCCATGGAGTCCAAGGCTGTTCTAGCTGGTTCCTAATGAGCTTCATTTGCTGCCTAGGGGCTAGTTTGGATTTGCCTCCCAAGTCTGCCTTTTAGGGCAGGAATACTCTCAATAACCACTGGTCATGTGGCCACTGATACAGATGGAAATTTTACACCACCACTGCAAAGATAAATAGAGCTTAGTAATAATTAAATGTCTTTATAATGATTATCTATCTATCTAGTATTATTCTCAAAACATGCTAGTGAGATAATAACTAAAGACATGCATGCCTGCTTATGCCCACGCTTATTCCAAAGATGCATTCTTACTACAGCTGTGTCAGTATCCAATCATTTTCCCATTGACTTGCACTATGAATTTTAGAGATGCATTCCACAGAAAAGCTGTCTTATTCAGAAGAGCACCAGCCCTTTCAGATGTAGGACTGAAGCACTGTTACAGACTCACATGGCAAGGGTCTTCTCCATTTGTGATAGAGCTATTTTTCTGTTTACTTCATCATACATAGTAGACCACAAACTCCTAGACTCCGGTTTTACCTCAGTGCAGTACTCAGCAGTACTTCATTTAATTAAGTGCTTACCCAGGCACTAAGCATGCTACAGAGCCCCCAACAGTCTTCTAAGAAAATGGGGAATAATAAATACTAACTGAATGAGGTTCCCTAGGAACACTGGGTAAACACCAACCATGCAAAACCTGGGTCCCCTGAAAGCCGAGGCGGACAGTCACTGCAGCCCCTGGAGAAAAATAATTCACGGAGGAAGCCGGAGTGCTGCTGTGCGTGGAGAACAGAGAAGAGGCACCTTTTCAGGGAAAGTTACTCCCTCTTACTTTCTTCACACGGTTTCAATAGCCCGTCTGAGAACATGCACACTTAATTCTCTGTCCAGAGAAAGGAGGTGCAGAGGCTGTAAGACAAACAGCTGGATTACTATTGTAGTTTACAAGGGAGTGGGAGCTAGATACTTCTAAGAGTGCATCTACCCTCACACTTAGGCAGTGAAACAGCTCACTGGTACAAGTCACGTGCCTTAATTCAAAAAGGAGGACATTCCACTTATCAAAGTGATAAAAACTGAAAAGCATGGTAATACCAATACGTAGGGCACAGAGAAATGTGACCAATTTGGTGATATAATTCAAAAGACTTAAAATGTTGTAAACCGTTTTCTTTCCATTATTGATTTCAAAGAGGAAGGGAGAGGGAGAGATAGAAACATCAATGATGAGAGAATCATTGATCAGCTGCCTCCTGCAAGATCTGAGGCAGCCCCCTTCTAGGAGTCAAGTCCAGAATCCGGGCCCGGGCCCTGATGGGGAAAAAAACTGTGACTTGGTTCATAGGCTGATAATCACTGAGCCACACCAGCCGGGTGCAAACTTTTTGATTTAGCAAATCTGCTTCTGGAAATTCATAAGAAAATAATCCTGGATTGTACAGAGATTTAGGAGGATTTCCACCACACCATTTTTGTAAGAAAAAATCTAAAGTAACCTTTATGACCTAAATAGGACATTGATTCAATAAATATTGGCACAGCCATAAAACACTATGTAATACAGGGTGATATGGTGACATGTTCTTAATAACTTAAGCAAAAAGTGACATTACAGGTTACACTTCCAGGATATAACTACTATATAACTAGATCTTACAATAGATAAATCACAACAATCTTTGCTGGTTTTGCAGAAAAGTATGAGAAATATCAAGGAGGGAACATGACACACACATAAACTCTTCTTAGATCCAAAACAGGAGTGAGTCACAGGGGGAAAACGGGAGGTATCCAAAGGCTAATACAAAGAATCACATGTGCCAGAACACAAATCAGCAAGCTGGTTCCTCTGTGGGGACCAGTCCTCGCCTGGGGAAGCCTGCACTGAGGAACTGCAGCAGGCTCAGTGTGGGCGAGACAGAGAGAAAATCTTGAGGTGGACCAAGCCATTGCGGCCCCTAGACTTTGTGAGCTCATCTCCAGGAGCTCAGCAGAGCTTCACAGCAAGTATTGAAGAAGAAACCCCTCGCTTCCAGGAGGAGAAGGTGACAAGGAGTATTTCTGAAATCACCGGAGCATTCTGTTCTTAGCAAGGCCCGCCCTCAGTAACAGCTACTGAAACAGAGCCTAGCTGGCCTGGAAGAGAGAATCCCATCTCCCCCCTCTAGCCAGACGGTGTGGGAGAAACCGAGGAAAACACTTGAAGACAGCTCAGAGGCAAAGTGCACTAAAAGACTGAGACCCAAAGTTCTGGGGATATTATGTAGAGCAGGATAACTATGGTTAATGGCACTATGATATATTTGACAGTTGCTAACAGTAAATCTAAATGCTCTCATCACAAAAAAGAAATGGCAATTATGTGAGGTGATTGAGGCATTAACTAGCCTCCTCCTGGCCACACACACACACACACACACACACACTAAAAAAAAAGAAAGAAACCACCATATGATCCAGCAACTCCACTTATGGGCACATAACCGGAAGCAGGATGGTGAACAGATACTTGCACCCCCATGTTCACAGCAGCATTATTCACAAAACCCAGGGGTGGAAGCACCCACGTGTCCAGCACCAGGTAAACGGGTAAACAAAAGGAGCTGTACACAACAAAGGCATACTATTTGGCCTTAAAAAAGAAATTCTGACAAATACTACAACGTGTGCGATTCCATTGATATGAGGTACCTAGAGTAGTCAAATTCATAGGAACAAAAAGTAGAATGGTGATTCCAGGAACTAGGGAAGGTAGGAATGGTGAGTTATTGCTTAATGGTATAGTTCCAGTTTTGCAAGATAAAAAGTTCTGGAGACTGGTTGAACAACAGTGTGGATATACTTAACTCTACCGAACTGTACACTTAGAAATGGT